GACATAGACATTATATGGGCAGAAAGCTAAAATTCTTGTTAATCTAACTGCACTGTCCGATTTACAGTAGCTACTACAGTGAAAAAATACCATGCTATTGTTTGAGGAGAGTGCACAACAACAACAAACTTTTCACGGCAACTGGTTTTATACATTCACCTCTGAAGGTAAATAATGTACTTACATTCAGTATTCTTGCTCTGATTTGTCATCCTAAGGGTCCCAGAGATAAAATGTAGCATAGTTTTGTTTGATAAAATCCATTTTTATATTCAAATGTAGGAACAGGGTTCTACAGTTTGAATCAATTTTTATATTAAAATGTAGGAACTGGGTTCTATAGTTTGAACCCCTCCACACCCACCCACCCCGCCCGGCCATCTAGAAGTGTGAAAGTTAGTGTATAAGCTAATGATCCATCATGTATGACATTCCTGGGAGTGTGTAAACTTACATTTTGTATTATCATATCATTTTTGTATGTTCTCTATAGTTATGTACTTGAAAATGTATCAATTGACCAATGCGGCACATTTGGGCAGACTTGATTCAATATAGTCCAGTATTGCAATGCTTCACTGGATCAATCTGAAACTTTGCACACATTGTGCCTAAACTGCAATATTATATTGTGGCCTTTCTCTTTCATTTCAAAGATGATGAAAAAAATTATTATTATAATTTTTGTTTGTATGATCTTTTACCAGATCTCATGTGTTATATTCTGCTACATTAATTTCACATTTCCACAAACTTAATAATAATAATAATACGCCATTTAGCAGACGCTTTTATCCAAAGCGACTTACAGTCATGCGTGCATACATTTTTTTTGTGTATGGGTGGTCCCGGGGATCGAACCCACTACCTTGGCGTTACAAGCGCTGTGCTCTACCAGCTGAACTTCAAAGTGTTTCCTTTCAAATGGTATGCATATACAGTGAAGGAAAAAAGTATTTGATCCCCTGCTGATTTTGTACGTTTGCCCACTGACAAAGACATGATCAGTCTATAATTTTAATGGTAGGTTTATTTGAACAGTGAGAGACAGAATAACAACAAAAAAATCCAGAAAAACGCATGTCAAAAATGTTATAAATTGATTTGCATTTTAATGAGGGAAATAAATATTTGACCCCTCTGCAAAACATTACTTAGTACTTGGTGGCAAAACCCTTGTTGGCAATCACAGAGGTCAGACTTTTCTTGTAGTTGGCCACCAGGTTTGCACACATCTCAGGAGGGATTTTGTCCCACTCCTCTTTGCAGATCTTCTCCAAGTCATTAAGGTTTCGAGCCTGACGTTTGGCAACTCGAACCTTCAGCTCCCTCCACAGATTTTCTATGGGATTAAGGTCTGGTGACTGGCTAGGCGACTCCAGAACCTTAATGTGCTTCTTCTTGAGCCACTCCTTTGTTGCCTTGGCCGTGTGTTTTGGGTCATTGTCATGCTGGAATACCCATCCCCGATCCATTTTCAATGCCCTGGATGAAGGAAGGAGGTTCTCACCCAAGATTTGACGGTACATGGCCCCGTCCATCGTCCCTTTAATGCGGTGAAGTTAAAACCACAAGCATAAACCTCCATGTTTGACGGTGGGGATGGTGTTCTTGGGGTCATAGGCAGCATTCCTCCTCCTCCAAACACGGCGAGTTGAGTTGATGCCAAAGAGCTCGATTTTGGTCTCATCTGACCACAACACTTTCACCCAGTTCTCCTCTGAATCATTCAGATGTTCATTGGCAAACTTCAGACGGGCCTGTATATGTGCTTTCTTGAGCAGGGGGACCTTGCAGGCGCTGCAGGATTTCAGTCCTTCACGGCGTAGTGTGTTACCAATTGTTTTCTTGGTGACTATGGTCCCAGCTGCCTTGAGATCATTGACAAGATCCTCTCATGTAGTTCTGGGCTGAATCCTCACCATTCTCATGATCATTGCAACTCCACGAGGTGAGATCTTGCATGGAGCCCCAGGCCGAGGGAGATTGACCGTTCTTTTGTGTTTCTTCCATTTGCGAATAATCGCACCAACTGTTGTCACCTTCTCACCAAGCTGCTTGGCGATGGTCTTGTAGCCCATTCCAGCCTTGTGTAGGTCTACAATCTTGTCCCTGACATCCTTGGAGAGCTCTTTGGTCTTGGCCATGGTGGAGAGTTTGGAATCTGATTGATTGATTGCTTCTGTGGACAGGTGTCTTTTATACAGGTAACAAACTGAGATTAGGAGCACTCCCTTTAAGAGTGTGCTCCTAATCTCAGCTCGTTACCTGTATAAAAGACACCTGGGAGCCAGAAATCTTTCTGATTGAGAGGGGGTCAAATACTTATTTCCCTCATTAAAATGCAAATCAATTTATAACATTTTTGACATACGTTTTTCTGGATTTTTTTTTTGTTATTCTGTCTCTCACTGTTCAAATAAACCTACCATTAAAATTATAGACTGATCATTTCTTTGTCAGTGGGCAAACATACAAAATCAGCAGGGGATCAAATACTTTTTTCCCTCACTGTACTTGCTTCAGTTCCTGAGCTACAGGCAGCTGGATTTGGGTATGTCATTTTAGGCGAAAATTGAAAAAAAAGGGGTCCGATCCTTAAGAGGTTAATGCGTTTGGGCCAATCAGTTGTGTTGTGACAAGGTAGGGGTGGTATACAGAACATAGCCCTATTTGGTAAAATACCAAGTCCATATTATGGCAAGAACAGCTCAAATAAGCAAAAAGAAAACGACAGTCCATCATCACTTTAAGACATGAAGGTCAGTCAATCCTGAAAAATTTCAAGAACTTTGAATGTTTCTTCAAGTGCAGTCACAAAAACCATCAAGCACAATGATTAAACTGGCTCTCATGAGGACCGCCACAGGAAAGGAAGACCCAGAGTTACCTCTGCTGCATAGGATAAGTTTATTAGAGTTAACTGCACCTCAGATTGCAGCCCAAATAAATGCTTCACAGAGTTCGAGTAACAGACACATCTCAACATCAACTGTTCAGAGGAGACTGCTTGAATCAGGCCTTCATGATCGATTAGCTGCAACTAAACCACTACTAAAGGACACCAATAAGAAGAAGAGACTTGCTTGGGCCAAGAAACACCAGCAATGGACATTAGACCGGTGGAAATCTGTCCTTTGGTCTGATGAGTCCAAATTGGAGATTTTTGGTTTTTGTGAGACGCAGAGTAGGTGAACGGAAAATAGTAAAAAAAAAGAAAGAAATTAAAACCCTGGAATGAGTAGGTGTCCAAACTTTTTACTGCTACTGTATATAATAATAATAATAATAATAATAATAATAATATAGGGCTACACATTTTATGTGTTTACACTTCCATAGCCCTGACTAGTTACAGAATGAAAAGAGATACGCAAGCATCATCCTGATATGTAAAATAGTGATATAAATGAATACACACAGTAAATTTGAAAGACACATGCACGCACACAAACACTTCCAGTCATCCTCTACTCAAGCCCCGGGAAACTAAGTGCCACCCATATGTACCTCTCCCTGATCCCTTCACCCCACTACTAAGAATCCCATATGTCACTAGTCTCCTATCACTCACATCTCGCTAGTCCAACCTTAGTCACTCTGAACACACTCTGAAGGGTCCCTTACTAGAAATGGGCTATTGCTACTCCAGGGTCACACATCAATCTTGGCAACTGCCCTCTTTCTACTATTGCAGGGAAGTAAACCCTGACCTGGGCTAAATTAATGTTATTAATCAGCCCTATCTGACTCCATACGAGATAGATAGAGACAGACAGACAGACAGACAGAGTTTGCAATCTGTTATTGAGACCTATTTCACACAGATTGGGTACTCAGTCGGGGTCTCAACTTACTGTTGAGAGTTAGTATAATAGAATACACAAGGTGCGATTTCGAAATTTGGCTGTGCATCAGCAGTCACTCAGCTAGCCTATGTCAGCTAAATGTTTAGCTGCCAGCTATCTAAAATTGTAGTAAGCATGGTCAAATTACCGACTAGGGTGGGGCCCATTGATCATCAGTTATCATATCAAAAACTACAAACATTTGCCTCCATTTTATTGCAAAATGTGTAGAATTGTAGGAAATTAGCTGTAAAACTGCTTATTTTTCTCTCCGTCCCATGGCAAAATGTGTAGAATTGCATCAAACTTGCTTTAAAATTGAAAAATATTCACTACGCCCCATGGCAAAATGTGCAGAAATGCAGGAAATTAACTTTAAAACATCAAATAATGTTTTGCTCACAAGGTGGGGGGGATGGGGGGATGTGGATACGACCCAAGAGCCACTGCGGCTCCCCATGATGAGTTCCGATGTTTTGTGGCCCCCACCCACATCAAAGTTGGCCATCCCTGCCCTAGACTATTGGTCATCATTTCATTTGAGAACAATTTGCTTTTGGGTTTGGTTTGAGGCATCCATCCCATTTAGGTGTTATTGTATTGTCCTGGTGAAACAGACGTCTTTCATTGACTTAAAACTACCACTTCTCCAATTAATCAAAATTAAACGATTACTGGACTTACATACATACACAGTTACTCATCTGTGAAGGGATTTGTGACATGGACAAACAGGTTGAAGAAAAACCATACATTTTGCTCAATTACAAAAGGGCTGGCTTTAAAAAAAAGTAGGTTTTAAATTGTGAGTGCTAAGTCTTGGAAATGGCTGACTACTTATGCCCAAATTACTTGGGCAAGACTGATAAGTGAGACACTTGAGATGTGTGCTCTGAGCATATAATGCTTCTACTGCAATTTTTATCTTAGGGCAATATTTTCTGCATAAATGGCTTGGAAGTGAAAATTAATAAAATTGACTTGACATCTGTGAATATTTTCACAGGTGCCAGGTGTGCATTTTTATTTCTCTCCAGTTTTCTGCCAGATACTTTTCTCAGCAATTGTTTCAAATTGAAATACTGTAGAACAAAGGGAACAAATGATGTATGTGTGTGAGTAAAACAGACGTCACATAGAGATTTGGGTTACTTACACAAACGCGTGGTACAGTAGCGCCCATCCTCGCGGTCTCTCCAGGGCGTCATAAATAAGGGTTTGAATTCTCCGCTTCCTGATGTTATTCCGTTTAACGGGTCGCGTGTACCCCAGGGGCGTCTTGGCCAACAGTCCGAAACCCTGCGTGCTCCTCTTGAAATCTTCCCGACCTGGAGCCACCAACAGGAGAGCTCCATCTTTGTCCACCCCGGCCCCTTGGTCCAAGTCCACGGGCAGGGCTGATGTCTTTTTGTCCCTCTGCTCCTCAGAACCGTTAGCAACATTTCTGGACCTGATCCCCATGTTCACTCGTGATCCTTGGCGCCGCGCTTATGGAGATCTGGTATGAGCCGCATGCCATGATCTGAGGCGATAAATCAAGATGACTTCAGCAGAGGGTCATGTAGGGATCTGGTCCCCTTCATAAAGGGAGGTGCTCCGCAGTCTGACTGGAGGGGGTGTGTGTGTGCGTGTGTGTGTGTGTGTGTGTGTGTGTGTGTGTGTGTGTGTGTGCGCGTGTGTGCGCGTGTGTGTGGGGTGGGGGGGGGGGGGGGGGGGGGGGGGTCATACCTAACGGCTACAGCTACTATGAATGGAAACATTCGACCACATTAACAAGAATCGAGCAACAATTGCACGGCATGTTATTTCATAACCCTTAACAGACTGTCAACAGTTAATAGGCTACAACACCTTGTATTTCCATCGCTAAAATGTGAAAATAACTCAGAAAACATAGGCTAGGCGAGCTCAAAACACTGGCTAAATTATCCATGAGGAACGAGACGTCCACACGGACTTGACCCGTAGCCTACCCGTGCTCCAAAGCCGACCGCTCCCGACAAAGCATGATTTATGTTGAGGCTTCCTCCTTCCAGTCTCCACCTGCCGCTCCTGATAAAACAAACGCTGTGAAGAGAGGTGGGGTATGGATGAGATAGATGTCTTGCCTGAAGGAGAAAGGAGTCGATACTTAAACTGAAATCCACCACCACTAAGCATTAATGATACTAGGGAAGGATTCCTTTTTCTTACAAATAGTCGCGAGCACAAGTTGCCTGGCTACTCAGACTACTTGCCACGCCCACGGACGTTAGTTTCTTCAAGTGTATAGAGAACGTCAGAGCAGTGGTAGAATTTAGTGTGAGTCGTCAGGCTAGCTAGAGCGAAAAGGTACATTGTCATCTTCAACCTAGGCTGCAGAGCCTTCTGGAGCACGTGATGCATTGCTGTCATTTTACATTTTAGCAGATGCTCTTATCCAGAGCAACTTACAGTTAGTGAGTGCATACATTTTCATATTGGCCCCCCGTGGGAAACGAACCCACAACCCTTGCGTTGCAATCGCCATGCTCTACCAACTGAGCTACAGGGGACAACAGGGGACATCGCACGTGCGTAAAATTATGTCAATATTACATGATTATCAAATTAGATTAAGCTAGCCTATTTGTTACTTTTATATTGTGTTAATTGTTCGTGATGAGCAGAGCAAATTGTAATTAGGAATATTTTAAATCTGAATGTCAGTGGGCAGTGGCCCCGTGTAGCTCAGTTGGTAGAGCATGGCCCTTGCAACGCCAGGGTTGTTGGTTTGATTCCCACGGGGGGGGCAGTATGAAAAATAAGAGCGTCTGCTAAATGACGTAAATGTGAATATGATTTGCAGCACACACTGGTTTTAAAGGTAATTTGTCAATGTAGGTGTAATCAACGTGGAAAATATATTGAATTTGAAAAAAGTTATAAACCAGAACAGTTTTCTTCTCATTTCAACCAGCATTGTAAATAATGAAATTAGGGTAAAACTACTTCCATTTAAATAAATTGAATACATCTGACTAACAGGTTGTTAAATCAATATAATTTCAACATAATCATCATAACTATATATATGTTGAAATTGCGTTGAGAATTCCACATAGAAACATTCAAGATCTTTTTAATCCTATTCATGTATTGAGTGATTGAAATTATGTGGAATGTTATATTTGATTAGACATTTAATTTGAGGTAGTCTATGCAAATGACTATGGAAGCTGATCAACGTCTAAATGTGTTGACATGATGGCTCAGCTGAATCGAACATAGCTTATTTTGAAAGCTAAGCAGAGTACATAGAAGTAGCGGTCGAGTGGCGCAGCGGTCTAAGGTACTGCATCTCAGTACTTGAGGCGTCACTATAGACCCCCTGGTTCGATTCCAGGCTGTATCACAACCGGCCATGATTGGGAGTCCCATAGGGCGGCGCACAATTGGTCCGGGTTTGGCCGGGTTAGGCCGTCATTGTAAATAAGAATTTGTTCTTAACTGACTTGCCTAGTTAAATAAATAAAATATAAAAAAGTAGGCTTCTGGATGGAAGTCTGGTTATCACTGAAGTGCATATACCAGTCACTGTACATGTGGAAATTGTTGGACTGGGGCTTCATATTGTATTTAAATTTGTCACGTGTGGTAAACAACGGGTATAGACTACCAGTGACATGCATACTTATTAGAAAAATTATAACACAAGGAATAAATACACAATCAGTAACGATAGCTTGGCTATATACACGGGGTACCAGTACCGAGTCGATGTGCAGGGGTATGAGGTAGCTACTTTTGTATACGTAATGTATGTGGACACCCCTACAAATTAGTGGATTTGGCTGTTTCAGCCACACCCGTTGCTGACAGGTGTATAAAATAGAGCATTCAGCCATGCAATCTCCATAGACAAACATTGGTGTCACGGTTTCGGCCGAGGCTGCTCCTCCTCCTTGTTCGAGCAGGCTTCGGCGGTCGTCGTCTCCGGAGTACTAGCTGCCACCGTTCTTTGTTTTCGATGTTTGATTGGTTTGGTCTGTTTAGTACACCTGTTCATGTTTAGTGTTGATTATGTGTCCTATAAGTTCTCGTTGTTTCTGTCATGTGTTGTGTGTAATTGTTTTCCTGTCGTTTGGTGCAGTGCTGTTTGCCAGTCGCTCTTTGTGTACTGACGCACTATTGTTTTGTGCGCAGTTTCAGTTTTGGAGTGTTTTACGCACTGTGGCGTATTTCGCCTCCGGGTTGTTTGACCCGTGTTGTTATTTTGGAATTTCTAGTAAAGTCTGGATTGACTTAGCTCCTGTGTCCTGCAATTGATTCGCACCACATCCGCATCAGAGAACGTGACAGAATTACACACCATAAGATGGAATCAGCAGGAGCAGCTGCAGCACCTGGGTCGCTTGAGGAGTATATCCGCGGCCAGGATGACCAGATCCGACAACTGGGGACCGCTCTGCAGGACGTCATCAACACCCTGCACCGATTGGAGTCCAGAGGGGTACCCACACCTCCACCTACCTTACCACCACCATCGGTCGGTCCGCCCGTCCCAGGCCCGGAACCCAGTGGGATTCAGCTCTCACTCCCGAGGGCGTATGACGGCACAGCTGCCGGGTGTCAGGGGTTCCTCCTGCAGGTGGAGCTCTACCTGGCCACTGTACACCCGGTGCCCTCGGGACACGAGAGCGTTTCCGCCCTCATCTCCTGTCTCACGGGCAAGGCGTTGGAATGGGCCAACGCCGAGTGGAGGAGGATAGACGCCACCACCATCTCCTACGCGGAGTTCTCCCGTCGCTTCAAGGCCGTGTTCGACCATCCACCTGAGGGCAAAGCGGCGGGGGAGCGTCTATTCTACCTCCGACAGGGGAGGAGGAGCGCACAGGCATTTGCACTGGAGTTCCGGACTCTAGCGGCAGATGCAGGGTGGAATGAACGGGCCCTCATCGATCATTTTCGATGTAGCCTACGGGAGGACGTTCAACGTGAGTTGGCCTGCAGGGACACCAATTTCACCTTCGACCAGTTGGTCGACATGTCCATCCGTCTGGACACCCTGCTGGCCACCCGTGGACGTTCCGAGTGGGGTCCGTCCATTCTATCCTCCAGCACCCCCGAGCCGAGCCCCATGGAGCTCGGGGGTGCTGGCGCTAGAGAAAGGAGGAGAAGGAGCCCGAGGGGGGCTGTCACCTGCACCAACTGCGGCCGTGGAGGGCACACTGCGGCCAGGTGCTGGGGAGGGTCTCCAGGAGGAGGGGACGACAGGCCACGCACTGGGGAGCATTCCAAGGTGAGTAGACGCCCCACTTACCCAGAGCTCTCTGTTGTGCACTTTTGTATACCTGTTAGTTTTCCACAGGTTGCACCTCATTCCCAGCATAAGGCGCTAGTAGATTCAGGCGCAGCTGGGAATTTTGTTGACCGGAAGTTTTGTTTAGATTTAGGGATTCCCCTCCTGCCTGTCGACGATCCTTTTCCCGTTCATGCTTTAGATAGCCGCCCGTTGGGGTCAGGGTTGATTAGGGAAGTCACAGCGCCACTTAGGATGTGTACGCAGGGGGGTCATGAGGAGACTATTCAGCTATATCTGATCGACTCTCCTGCGTACCCGGTGGTGCTGGGAATTCCCTGGTTAAGTACCCATAACCCTGCCATTTCGTGGCAACAGAGAGCTCTTAAGGAGTGGTCTGCTCAGTGTGAGGGGCGATGTCTGGGTGTTTCCGTGGGGGCGACCTCGGTGGAAAGTCCAAACCAAGTGCCCGCATAGCACATTCCACCTGAATATGGGGATTTGGCACTTGTGTTCAGTAAGGCGAGGGCGACGCGGTTGCCTCCTCACAGACAGGGGGATTGTGCGATAGACCTCCAGGCAGGAGCAGCGCTCCCACGGAGCCACGTGTATCCTTTGTCTCAAGAGGAGAGAAAGGCTATGGAGACTTACATAGCCGAATCTTTGAGACAGGGATACATACGGCCCTCCACTTCCCCTGCGTCCTCTAGCTTCTTTTTTGTGAAGAAAAAGGATGGAGGGTTGCGCCCGTGCATTGATTACCGTGGTCTCAATCAGATTACTGTGAAATACAGTTATCCACTCCCTCTGATTGTGACTATGACGGAGTCATTGCACGGAGCGCGTTTCTTCACAAAACTGGATCTCAGGAGCGCATATAACTTGGTGCGCATTAGGGAGGGCGATGAATGGAAAACAGCCTTTAGTACCACCTCGGGTCATTACGAGTATCTCGTCATGCCATACGGGTTGATGAACGCTCCTTCGGTCTTCCAATCCTTCGTGGATGAGATCTTCCGGGACATGCAGGGGCAAGGTGTGGTCGTGTACATTGATGACATTCTGGTGTACTCTCCTACCCGAGCCGAGCATGTAGCCCTGGTGCGTCGAGTGTTGAGGAGGCTGTTGGAGCACGACCTGTATGTCAAGGCAGAGAAATGTCTGTTTTTCCAGGAGTCGGTCTCCTTTTTGGGTTATCGGT